CTTTCGAAGCGCTCGTTCAAAATGATTACGCTGAGACAAATCCTCTCACACATCAGACCGAGAGACTGGTTTATCTCTGTGGATTTAAAGGATGCTTATTTTCACATTCAGGTAGCCCCTCGCCACAGGCGTTTCCTGAGATTCGCATTCGAGGGGATAGCGTACCAATTCACTGTCCTACCCTTCGGTTTATCCCTGGCCCCTCGTACGTTTACGAAATGCATGGATGCCGCTCTTTCTCCTCTGAAGCAGAGCGGAATGCCTCAGTTCTGCGAGAGGAAATACACAACCTCCTCGCAAAACGCGCTGTAGAGACAGTGCCCCTACCAGACCGCAAGAGCGGCTTCTACAGTCGCTATTTTCTGGTACCAAAGAAAGACGGCAGACTCAGCCCAATCTTGGATTTGAGACCGCTGAATCGCGCGCTTTCGAAGCGCTCGTTCAAAATGATTACGCTGAGACAAATCCTCTCACACATCAGACCGAGAGATTGGTTTATCTCTGTGGATTTAAAGGATGCTTATTTTCACATTCAGGTAGCCCCTCGCCACAGGCGTTTCCTGAGATTTACATTCGAGGGGATAGCGTACCAATTCACGGTCCTACCCTTCGGTTTATCCCTGGCCCCTCGTACGTTTACGAAATGCATGGATGCCTCTCTCTTTCCTCTGAAGCAGAGGGGAATGTGCATCCTGAACTATCTCGACGATTGGCTAGTCTTAGCCCAATCGGAGACCGCGCTGCTCACCGACAAGCTCAGACTCCTCGCTCATCTTCAGAGCTTAGGGCTGACTGTGAATATGCAAAAGAGCATGCTGGTTCCGAGCCAGAACATCTCCTTTTTAGGAGTGGAGCTGAATTCAATCAATATGAGAGCGTGTCTGTCGGAGGAGCGCTCACAAAAACTGATCAGCTCTCTCATAGTCTTAAAGTTAGGGCACTCTCCCCCACTGAAATGCTTTCAGAGGACGCTCAGCCAGATGGCTGCCGCCTCGACAGTGTGCAAACTAGGGCTCCTACATATGCGACCGCTTCAGCTCTGGCTAATGTGCCGGATGCCACAGAGCGCATGGCGCACGGGCACCTTGCGCATCAAAGTGACGCACAACTGATGGGATGCGCTCACCCCTTGGCGCGATATGACACTGTATCGCCGGGGTGTTCTTATTGGCCAAGTGATCAGGAGAAAGACTGTTACAACAGATGCATCGAGCACGGGCTGGGCGACGGAAGACCAGCCTTCGGGACATGGTCAGAAACTGAGAAGTTGTGGCACATAAACTGTCTGGAGCTCTGTGCTGTACACCTAGTGCTCGAGTGTTTTCTCCCGGACATTCTCCACTGTCACGTTCTCATCAGGACAGACAGCATGACAGTGGTAGCATCTATAAATCACCAAGGGAGCGTGAGCTCGCGGCCGCTGCTGCGGCTGGCGAGAGACCTTCTTCTGTGGGCAGATCAACACCTCCTCTCCATCCGGGCAGTACATGTCATTCTCTACTGTCACGTTCTCATGAGGACGGACAGCGTGACAGTGGTAGTGTTTATAAATCACCAAGGGAATGTGTGCTCTCTCCCCTGGGAGTGAATGCACTAGCTCACAGCTGGCCGAAAGTACGCAAGTATGCTTTTCCTCCAGTGAAACTTCCGGCTCGCGTGCTTTGCAAAATCAGAGAGGAAAGGGAATCTGTTCTGTTAGTGGCACGAAATGGCCCAATCAGCCGTGGTTCCCAGAACTGGTGGAGAGGAGAGACCTCCTCTCTCAAGCACAGTTAACGATATAGCATCCTAATCCAGAGTCATGGATCCTTCATGTCTGGCCGCTCGACGGAGCTTGCCTGTAACAGATGCACTTCCTCAGCGCGTGTTGAACACTCTGAGATCTCCAGACAGCGCTCCTGCTCGCGCTGGCCTCTGTTAAGTGAGTGGGGGACCAGCAGGTGCTGTCAGTTGACGACTCGTGTATTGAGTTCGGGCCAGGTGATTGCAGACTCAACTTAAAGCCTAGGAAGGGTTATGTGCCTAAAGTGCTTTCGACTCCATTTAAAGCGCAGGTCATCTGCTTTCCATCCCGAAACACTGGCCGGGACGGAGCCGCTCAATACACTTTTGCTGTGCCCTGTACATGCAGTGCGCATTTATACAGAGCGCTCTAGACAGTTCAGGCTCTCGGAACAGCTATTTGTATGCTTTGGAGGGCGCACAAAAGGCCTGCCTGTGTCCAGGCAAAGGCTGTCACACTGGATCGTCGACGCAATTGCTTTAGCTTATGGCTCTAAGGGCGTGAAATGTCCTATAGGGGTTCGGGCCCACTCAACCCGCGGACTCACGTCCTCATGGGCCTGGGTAAATGGCATATCTATTCAGGACATTTGCATGGCGGCAGACTGGTTGTCACCCAGCACTTTCGCGAGATTTTATAACCTAGATGTGTCGTTGCTTGCCTCACATGCTGTCAGTGCGAGCAGCACACGGCGCCTACTCAGCCTCAGTTATGATCTGAGCTGCTTGCCTCAGTGGTTTCGACTAGGTCGTATACACCCCTGTATTGACGTACCACTAATTCAATGCTGTCCCTATCAGCTTATCACATTGTTATGATATTGTTCATCACGTCTTTTAGGACATGATCACCATCATACTCTGCTTATTTGAGCACCGGTACAGCCGTTGCATCATAACGCATAATTTCATTGAAATTAAACAAACCTTAACTAATCTATATGTGATGGCGCCGGAGATGCCGCCATTTCGCATTCTCTGTTTCACTGGTGTTACCTCCGCCCCTGGTGTGACGCGGCATCGTCTAGTGACTTTTACTTTTGACTTTTACATGGTTTCGACTAGGTCCTGTAGACCTGAGCTGTGTTTAACAAGAGCGCCAATATCATTGCCGCTCTCATTACGGTTCCGTATGAGAAACTTGACATACTTAGTCGAGCCACGACACGGCCATCGCTGTGACACGGCGGGATTTTATACGTTCCCATAGCAATGTAGAGTGACCAAATCGAAAGGGAACGCTCTCGGTTACTCACGTAACCTCGGTTCCCTGAGATGAGGGAACGAGACATTGCTCTTATTTCCGTGTCACCTAGCTCAGGATCTTTGAATGCCAAGTTGCTTCAGTCAAGATTCTGAATGGATGACATACAAGCGCTGCTTTATATAGAGTGGGAGCCCCTCATATTTCGCGCGCTTTAACGCCATTGGCCAGTTTCACTGGTGTGATTCAATAAGGCTTCAGTAGTATTGGAGGAAAGGGTAATTCCCATAGCAATGTCTCGTTCCCTCATCTCAGGGAACCGAGGTTACGTGAGTAACCGACAGCGTTATTTTAGTAAACACCTCAATTGACCTATCGGTAAGCCCCGTCCCCTTTAGTTACTGTTGCTCACTCGGTCAAACAAACAGAGTTGCTCACTGTGTGACAGCTGTCAGTGAAAACCTTCTTCCGAGGTGTTTCTGATCAATTTGGGACACAGATGGACCTTCAAGTGGGACTTAAATATGCCCTGGAGGGATATATAAAAGATATTAAAATAAATATGTAAAAATACAGACCACAATGCAAACGGGAGAATTATGTTACGGTAGTCACGATCGCAATGACAACATCCCGGATCAACACCGTTCATATACCGCAGAGTAAGATTAAATTAATTTACATTTAACCAGATTAATATGGAGAGGCACTCTAATTTAGACCTTTGTTTATGTGTTTTTAACTTTCGCTGCATGGTACATGACGTGAGAAAAGTTCGCTAAGATGTCCGAGTTCCGCTCCCCGTGCAACTGATACTCGACTGCCATTGGTTCATCTGCATTCGAGAGGAGGGGCTTACCGATAGGTCAATTGATCCGAATGAGTTTGATCCAAATGAAATTTCAGTTGAATTGAAAGGGTTGGAGTTAACCTGAAAAAAATCCAATTAATGGGAAAAAATTTGCATGTAAACACTTGAATATGACTATCTTTTCAGTCGGATTCAAAAATATATATTTTTTGAGCACATGTGCAGTGCAGTGACGTGACATGTATATGCACTTCGCATGCACTGAAGATTTATTCGGAAAACATAAATGCACTTGTAAACAAAAATATGAATTGGACTGCAAATTTTAGGGTTTATATAAACAGAACTTTCAGAATCGGTAATTAGATGGTATTCATTTGGATTGATGAAAATTAATGCATGTAAACCAAGGGTGTCCGATCCTGCTCCTGCAGATTTTAGTTCCAACTAGCTGTAACACTTTCCTAGAAGTTTCTAGTGAGTCTGAAGACCTTGATCACACGTAGTCATTGTTGAGAGTGACTTTTCATACATTTATTTCAGGTTGGCTGTATTTCCAGTGAACACCACTCTTCCTGACAGTATCACTCAGTGGGGGTTTCTAGCCATCAGTGCCTCAACTGAGATAGGTAAACAGCTCTGTTCTTGTTTGTCTGTCTGTCTGTCCGCCTCTTGTTTGTCTTGGCAGAGACAGCAGAATTAGATTATCTCTGGTTTTTGCATATACAACTGAAACATATGATGCACTGTAGGTTTCTGTGTAGCTGAACCGCATAACGTCCAGGCGTGGAAGCCGTTCTTCATAGACCTGCGGCTGCCTTACTCAGTGTCCAGAAATGAACATGTGGAAATCAAAGCTGTGGTCCACAACTACGGGAATGAAAACCTGAAGGCAAGTTTCCCTGACTGTTCACCTTATTCTGACTTCAGGCTTATGCACAAACTGTGAGTAAGTTACAACTTACTAGTTGCGACGTAAAAAGGCACAAAGTTACAACTTACACACTACTACAAATTTTTGGGTTGAACCATAAAACTTGAAACATAATTCTACATATAAGTTAAATAATTACGTAAGCCTCCAACCAGGAATAAAACAGTTGGAATAAAACAGCTGACTGACTGAATTGCATCAATAAACTCATGCTTTACCTGACAAGCTTTAATCCTTTAGACATGTATGATAATGTTGTGTACATTGTGAATGAATGACTTGCCGCTCTTCAACACAAACCCAATCTAAACAGCGCACCTCTATGTGCATGCCAAATAAAATCAATCCTAATAATAATATTTATTTTTCACTCCTTATTAATTTCAATAGGGTATCTGAATGTCATTTACATATAAAAATATCTATTATGTTATTTCATGTATCGTATTTTAATGAAAACCTATTGTTATCTGAGGTCAAAGAAGTTAGAATCAACCTTAACAGGATAAACTGACATTTCAGCACAACTTCTGCTCACAAAATTTCACAAATTTTAAGCCTACCATTGGACCATTTAATGTAAATGTCATATTATGTGACTACACATTACTACACAAGACAGGGGTGCCATACGTGAACAAATGATCCATGAACCTGCCCTGAACACTCTGTCTGTTTGCAGGTAATGGTGATCCTGGAAAAGACAAAATACATGTGTAGTGTGGCATTTAGCAGAGCTCACAGGCAGCAGGTTTTGGTACCGGCCGGCTCCTCCAAGCTCATTTCATACGCCATCATCCCTCTTAAAACAGGGGAGCTCCCTCTACAGGTCACAGCCATTGCGCGTTCTTTTATTGAAGCGGATACAGTGAGGAAGAATCTACGTGTGGTAGTGAGCGGGCTCCTAAAACATCTCACACTTACTTATGGAAACAGTTTTGTGATATATATTACATAATACATGTTGTGTGTTCTGTGAAAGTGTATCAAACTACATTTCACAAGTATTTTGTGTGTGTGTGTGTGTGTGGCATGTGCTGTGTCTGGTGTTTTAGGTAGAAGGCATCCAGAGAATCAAGTCAAGGAGCTTTGTGTTGAACCCCTCTGAGAAAGGAGACAGTGGTGAGCTTGCAGGTTTTTTTTTTCAGAACAATAATTAGATGTACAAATTTCATAGTTTTGGAAGTAATGTTGCTTTTGTCTATGTATTTTGTGAATACATTAATATATTTCTTTAATTGTTTTTCTGTAATGAATGTTTATTTCTGTGATGTTTGTGTGTTATTGGTGCATTTTATTCTTTTAGAATTTTTCATTTGTGTTTATTATCAGGGAGACAGGTGATAAAAGTGGAGAAAATGGAGTTAAAATCAGTGGTACCAAATTCAAAGCCTAAGGCATTCATCAATGTCAGAGGTTTGTATTTATTTTAGAAGTTATATCAGATAATATTTAAGATTATTATGTCTATATTTTGGATAATGTCTCCTTTCTTTGTTGCTAATTAAGCACTTTTGACATATTAACAACTCACATATAGATATTATTTTTCATTAGTAAAGAGTATGGCTGTGTAGAAATAGGAAATTGTCTATGTGTGTGTCTCTACAGGTGATTTGCTGGCAGACAGCATTGATAACTCCATTAAGGAGGACTCTCTGGCATCGTTGATCCGGATGCCCGGCGGGTGTGTGGAGCAGAACCTGGCCAGAATCACGCTGCCACTCATTGCCGCCCATTACCTGGACCGCAGTGGAAACTGGGACGCTGTGGGAACAGATCGCAGACAAGAGGCCATCAAATACATTCAAACAGGTGCAATGAGACTCAAATATGAACGAACATCATTCTTTCAGATGTTTTAGATTATTTTTTTATATTTTCATTTTTTATAGGTTATGAAAATCAACTTAATTATCGAAAAAAGGATGACTCATACCCTCCCTATGCCAAAGAAGGCACCAGCACATGGTACTCATGCTAACACATTACTGATCACAGCTTCACATTGAACATGTGTCTGTCATGTTAATGTATCTTTATGTTCTGTCCATCTCAGGATCACTGCGTATGTGGTGAAGGTTTTCTCCATGGTAAAATCGTTTATAAACATCAATGACATGAATCTGTGTGGCCCTCTGGTGTACCTGCTCAAGAATAAACAGCGTCCTGATGGATCCTTTCAGGAGGACAATCCTGTCTACGACACCAGTATGATGGTGAGTATTGTTTGTGAGAATAAATGTGATTACATTAATTGCAGTAGTTTCATAATAATTAATAAAAGGGTAAAACTGCTATCTGAATGCTTTCTCACAGTACTAACATATGTCGTTATGTTCACTGTGTTGGTATAAAGGGAGGTCTGCGAGGCTCTGAATCCAGAGTGTCTCTGACCGCATTCGTGCTCATTGCTTTGGCAGAGGCACAAAATGCTGTTACCTGCCAAGAGCCAGGCCTCAAAATACAGGTAACTTAATTCTTTCTCCTTTACAAACACACACACAAGTGGGACATTAACACATATACATACATGTGCATTCACAGCATAAAAGTAACACACACAAACTTTCTGAACTGAGGTAACACATGTTCACACACGCTGTTAGAAAAAGGATAGAGATGAATCAAGAAATGAATCAAACGTTTAATTTTTCTGAAATGTAAGGTAACAAGCCATTCAAAAAATAAAATTTTTCTTACATGCCCTGATTATGGTCCTGATTCCGAAATGCTTCTGATAATATTCCTGTTAATCAATATAGGGCAATTCCAGTAAAGCAGCGGAGTATCTAAGGGAGAATTTCCCTCGACTGAAGAGGCCGTACACAGTGGCTATAGCATGCTACGCTTTAGCAGTATCCAACCATGGCTGCATGAAGAGCATGCTGTTAAAGTTTGCCTCACCGGGTACATAAATATGTAACCTAAATTTTGCAAACAGTTACCTTTCCAATAGGTACTGTTTCACAAGGTCAGTCTCTCTCTCCTCTTGTCTTCTAACTGTCGTCTTCTGTCCACAGATCGTACCCACTGGACTGACTCTGATAATCGCTTTTTCACACTGGAAGCTACTGGCTATGCATTGTTAGCACTGATCAAAGAAGGTCATATGAAGGAGTCAGTTGCCCCTTTTCAATGGTTAAATGAGCAACGTGACATCGGAGGAGGGTATGGCTCAACTCAGGTATTTAAAAAAAAAAAAAGGAACAGAAGCAATAATGTTAATATATCCCCTTTGACTCGTTAGCCTCTCACTATATATTTATATTATATTGATAATACAGGGACAAATTGTATATTATACAATTACAATTTATAAAATTTTATATGTGTCATAACTGACCTTCTGAGATGACAGGGAAGTTAAATTTTGAGCCTCTTCAACCCCATGAAGAATGGCTCCTGTCTTACTCTGTACAGATCTAGGGTTCTGTCTATCTTGAACTCCTCGTGGGGCAATCTCTACATTAAAGCCACTAGACCACTAATCATAGCGGAGCCAGTCAAAGAGGTCATATAAAGAAGGTACAGTGCCAGGTTAGCGTAATGTATAATGGCAAAACTCGACTCGCTGCTCCGAAGGAAGCTTGCTCAAAAGACATGCGACTTGGGACCCACAATTCAGCTCAATGTTACCCTCGGGTTCTAAAGTTTTCATCAAACCCACTAATGACTGTACCTGAAGGGCAAACCTCTAGAATGCAACTGCATCTCCACGCTTCATATCAGGGACTTCCAGGACACTGGACATTTTCCTCACAGCTAGCTGGTGGGGTTGACCGAACCTCTCTGGAGGGCCCCCATGGTATCAGTAAATGGGGTAAGCGAATTCAAATAAGCATCTATCATCTAACAGCTATCAGCTTAGCTTCATCTAAATTTAAGTGCTCCACAAGTATCTGATATTTAAAGAGTTCAGTCTGAAGGAAGCAGATTCTCTAAGGCTATTTGAAGTCTGGCAAACTCACTTGGGCTGAACTACTGGATGGTAGGAGTAGGCCCTTTATACACATGCTTGGACACTGACGTATGGGCTAAAAGTGCATTGTTCGACTCTAACCCCAGATGCTAGGTGACTTGGCTGAGCAGGCATGGACCCAAGTCAGGGGGAAGAAACTGACCTTTGGGCCTGTAAGGGTTTTAGATATGAGGGCTTTGCAGAATGAGGAGAATAACTTGAGTTCTTCAGGTGTTGGAGATGGTGAAAATAATATGTAGGACGGGGGGTATGCTTGTGAAGAGTGCGCTTGAGAGACACTCAATTTCTTAGGTACCTCTGGTTGGTGTGTAGCTGTGCCAGATTTGTTTAAATTTAAAGTCTCCATACCCCTTCACAGATCTGACTCAGGCTCAGGCCAAGGTGGAAGCTCAGGCCACTCTTCCTCATCAGCTGATGGGGCCAGCTCTTGCTGGTCTACATAGCAGGATGGGCGTTTGACCTTCGTTGCACGTTCACTTTGTAAACACTGGGTCAGTACTTCCCCTTTACAAAAAAAAAGGTAAAACAAAGATTTCGGACGATTTTGAGGTTGTAGGAGAAAATGAGATTGGATTTTTTCGCCCTTCCCTAACTTATTTGAACCGGAGTGCACAGAGTACGCATGCGCATCGTAGAGCTAGAGCAAGACGAGCATTTGAGGTTAAAAAGTATATAAGTTAAAAATTTGTAGAAAATGACTGATCATTTTGCTAGATAAGACCCTTATTCCTCGGCTGGGATCGTGTAGAGCCCTTTGAAGCTGCATTGAAACTGCATTTTAACAGATATTCTTCAATCAACTGAGCACCATAGAAGTCCACTATATTGGGAAAAATCCTGGAATGTTTTCCTCAAAAAACATAATTTTTATGCGCCTGAAGAAAGAAAGACATGAACATCTGGGATGACATGGGGATGAGTAAATTATTAGGAAATTTTTATTCTGGAAGTGGACTAATCCTTTAATAAAGGGCTGGTATTAGGAGCAGCTTCACCACAGAAGTACTCAGGATAATACCATGATGACTGGAGAGGGGTCTCATGGACAGGTGCCTCCCAGGGAGGTGAGATAAAATGTTCAGGTACAGGTCTGCCCCCTACATACTGCACTTTAAAGTCTTGGAGTCGGACTGGTGGACCTGTTCGATGTTTTGGTTGGGTTGCTCCAATGATCTCCTCACTAGACTCCATGTTACCAGGAATGACCACCGCATCCGACTCGAAGGACCAATGTTGCAGAGGAAAAGGGACTGCTAGGCTCTGGTTCTAATAGTATGAGCAGTATACACACTGGGTGTCGGTCAGGACATAAAGGACGAGGAGAGTGGACCTTCTTTCCAAAGTGTATTAAATATTAGTCTAAAAACAGAATAAACAAACATATTACATTAAAATGTAGTATAAATGTGTACTGAGTCAGAAATGACTGTCACTGCTTAATCCAGAATATTAAAGAGCAGGTCATATGGTTTTTTAAAGTGTCCTAATATTGTGTTAGAGTCCCCTACAACAGGTTTAAATGAATCTGAGGTCAGAAAATATTGTAATTTTCTCAGAATATACATTTATACATAGTGTAACGCTTTGACTCGGATAACTCGTTAAATCCATGTAATGAAAGAGATGGAAAACGAAGAGTTGGTGTCCCACACATTTAATGGCTGGTAAACGGCAAGGCGCTCCTCTCATACATGAGAGATTAACTCTTTCTTAGCGTTACAAATAAAAGTCAAGACAAAATAATAACAAGAAGGCAGAGCGAACTTATCATCCATAGTGGTTCTCAGTACACAGGCACGTAGTCCTTCTACGTCATCACCACATAGCGTGCGTTATAAGTTAAGTGATCAGTCTCTTAAAGGGCACACCGCATTATAATGTGATGCATGCAAATACATAGTTTTGGCCGTTACAGATTCCCCACCGGAAAGAAAAAGGCTGTCCCCAGCCATACACAACATGAGGACAACGTTTAAATTCAGCTCCATACATGGAAACTTGGAAATCCATCAACTCATAACATGTTTCACATACAGAAGGCAATAACTGGCATACATGTCAGTACAAGCTACACATTATACAGTATGCTTTTCAAAGACATATCACATAAAAACAAAAGCTTGTATAACCAACCCATAAGTGCAAAACAATTTTCTTTTCTTTTTTTCCGAACACATGAAAACAAGAATTAGAACAATGCTTTCTAGATTCCCATTGCTATACAAGGAAAGAACAGCTTATTATTAACATTTAAACACACAAGAAATTCGAACAAGCAAACAAATTACTACTTCAGATCCAATCTGTCAGTATAATATTCGTTAGTCCATTTCTTGTCTGACCACCCTGAGGTGATTCTAGGTGCCAGTCTAGGTCTGAGATTGTAACGATGACCTTCAAGATCAACGTCAAAGTCAGGAAGATGTGTATGTCGTGAAGATGTACTAATGTCAGTGTCAGCATTACGAGTACAACTACTCATGTCATGCTTGGTCACGTCATGTGCATTGTCAGTGAAATCGTCACAATTAACATCAGCCTCATTAGGCAGAGAAAAGCATGCGTCTTGAGGTTGGTCCTCACTCCTCTGTGTCACCAGCAGACTGTCCTCCAACCCCTCATCGGGTGTTTCAGACTCATCCTGAGGTCCACTTGGTGTATGGCTGCTGCATGCGTTCCAAGTGTGGAAAGGCTGCATATTCACCACATGATAGACACCAGCATCCTGTCTTGTGTCCAACTTTGCAAGTCTGTAGTTCACATCAGACAAAACTTGAGTGACACGGTATGGACCAGAGTACAGTGGTGCTAGTTTTGCTGTAAAATTGGCCAGAGCATCTGATTTAGGGTGGGTTTTCACTCTGACGAGGTCACCAATGGCATAAAAAACAGAGCGATGTCTTTTGTCATAGTGCTGCTTCCGTTTGTTGTGACTGGTTTCCAGGGCTGCCCTTGCATGGTCATGTGCCTCTTGCAGTGTCAATCTTAAGCTCTCGGGATAAGGGATTTCAGGTTCCTCCATTCCATCCCAGACAGGCTGAGTCACCAAGTCCAATGAAGTGTCCAACTCCCTCCCATACAACATCATAGACGGGGTTTGACCCGTACTCTCATGAGGTGCTGTTCGTAGTGCAAAGCAAATTTGTGGGATATATCGGTCCCAGGTTGTATGTTTATCATCCACGTATGCTCGAATTGCTGTCTTGAGAGTCCGGTTCACCCTCTCTGTGGCATTCGTCTGTGGGTGATATGCCGTTGTGAGGCGATGTTCTGTTCCCAGGAGAGGGAGCACCCGTTCGAATAGGTCGCTTACGAAAGGGGAACCTCTGTCTGAAATTAGATAAGTGGGGGCCCCGTGACGGGAAAACACTTCACTTAGCAGTTTGTTTGCTGCCACTTGAGCAGTAGCTTCTCTCACCGCCACAATCTCAACCCACTTTGAAAAATAATCGACAAAAACCAAGATGTAAGCATTGCCACTGGGAGTACGTGGCAATGGGCCAACGAAATCCACCCCAACGTACTCCCAAGGTTTTTGGGGCCGAATTGGGACCATTAGACCGGCAGGTTTTCTCTGACTTGGTTTTGTTAGTTGGCAAACCGTGCAAGAGGTTACATATTTTTTCACCTCAGATGCCATCTTAGGCCAGAAAAACCTGAGTTTCAGTCGGGCCAAGGTCTTGGTTATTCCTAGGTGACCTGCAGTTGGGTGATCATGGTAATACCTCAACAAGGTACCTTTGAGAGACGTAGGAGCATACAGCTTTAAACATTTCAAAGGGTGGATGCCACAAGCAGGTTTGGGATCGTTAAAGTACAACAAGCCATCATGAATGGAATATTGAGAGCAATCATCCCCGTCGCTACCCTGTTGGAGCTTTGCCTCCATTTTACGGAGGAGATCACCTGAGATTGGATCTTCAAGTTGTAATTGCCTGACATGAGATCGATCCGTAAGAGTTACTGAAGATAGCGTACGGAGATCCAGACCACCAATCACAGCGTAGTCAAGAAGGAGGTCCATTGGTGGCACATCATCTGTTAGAGAATTCCTCGACAGCGCATCAGGCACTTTGTTTCGAGAACCAGGCTTGTGGACAATATTGAAATCGAAGTCCTGAAGGCGGAGAGCCCAACGAGCAAGGCGGCCAGTGGGGTTGGGACGGGACATCAACCACTTGAGCCCACTGTGGTCAGTGAAGATTGTGACATGGAGACCCTCAATGTAAGGCCTAAAGTGCTCAAGGGCCCAAATGACGGCCAGACACTCTTTCTCGGGTGTGGAATAAGGTTTCTCTGATTTATGCAGGGCCCGACTAGCATATGCCACAGCAACCTCTCTGCCATGCAGATCTCTCTGCATCAGCGCAGCTCCTAGTCCCGCGTCACAGGCATCGGCATGAACAAAAAAAGGTAGAGAGAAGTCAGGAAAACTTAGCACAGGTGCCGAAGTTAATTTTTGTTTCAGCAGGTCCATGGCGTCTTGGCAGGCACTGTCCCACACAAAAGGAGCATCATTTTTAGTGAGCGCAAACAGGGGTTCAGCGTGGCGGGCGTAGTCCTGTATGAACCGACGGTAATAGCCTGATAGGCCCAAAAACTGCCTCACTTGCTTCACATTGACAGGAGTTTTAAAGTCCATAACAGCTTTCACTTTGTCCTGGTCCGGCAGGACGCCACGTGGACAGACACGGTACCCCAAGAAGGTGAGCTCTCTGTGACAAAACTGGCATTTGACCAGTTTAATGGTCAACCCGGCAGACTTGAGCCGTAAAAGGACTTCCCTGAGGTCATCGAGATGTTGCTTGAAAGTGGGTGAAGCCACAACAATGTCATCCAAGTAGACTGCACAGCACCTATAAATGAGACCAGCCAGGACACTATTCATTAGTCTTTGAAAGGTCGCTGGTGCATTGCACAGACCAAATGGAAGCACACGGAACTGAAATAGCCCACAATGTGAAACAAAAGCAGTCTTAGGTTTTGATTCTTTCGCCATGGAGACCTGCCAGTATCCCCGAGCAAGGTCGATTGTAGTCAAAAATTTCCCTGTGGAAAGGAAGTCAAGGGACTCATCGACTCTTGGTAATGGGTAAGAGTCCTTCACGGTAAGCTGATTCAACCCACGATAGTCCACACAAAATCGTGGTTCACCACAAGGTTTCTGAACAATCACAACGGGGGCGGCCCAAGGGCCTGTTGCCGGTTCAATGATGCCGTCGTTCAACATTTTTCCTATTTGATCCTCAATCAAACGCTTTTTAGCTGGGGAGGTTCGATAAGGGGGAAGGTGGATTGGCTTGGCATTCCCCGTGTCTATGGAGTGCTCAGTTAGTGATGTGCGACTCAGGTGACCGTCGAAGAGGTCAGAAAGTTAGCCCTGACAGCTGTTCCTTCTCAACATTACTCAGACATGCTT